AAGATAAAGGAGGCTATCCATATTCAAAAAGAACTACCTTGCCTCAATCAGCAATTACACCATGTAAATCTAAAATTATCCTTTTAATTTACACATTTTCACGTTCTGTTGTTACTATTTGTCTTAATTAGCATTTTTGTCTACTTATTATTCAACTTGCTTTGTAAATCATTCAACTGAAGATGCCAGAAGTTCTGTCGAAACATGTCTTGTAAACTTAAAAAACTGGTCGTTTTCCTTAAAATATTTACGTGTCTGCTGTTATCTAGACCTTTTATCAATTAATTTTTTCGTCGTTTATTTGTTAAATCCTCCGCTCTAATGCCCCTTTAGGAAATGGCAGATCAAACTTTAAAAACATAACTACAACTCTCAATTTATTGTTGGTCTTAAAAATATTGGGTCAAAACAAAGTAGTCCTAAAATGAAAGTCAATTTCTGTCTCTTACATACTTAAAATAATTAAATTCTCTTCTATTTTTTTCGTTCCATCGCAAACCGATAAAGATCTAAGTTGTTCGATCAAACCTTCTGATTTAGTGTTTTTACAAATTGTTTTCCGAAACAAATGTGTAACATTTTAATTATTCAGTTCTTATTTTCACTAGCCAAGTTGACTACTGAAATTCTGTAGATGAATTGTTTTGTTAACTGCAAATTGTAGCGATAAATTGTATTTTTTAATTTTGAAAACTACAATTTGTCACTCCAGAAGGCTTCCCCATGATGACTTGTATTAATACAGGTTTTAAGTCATTGCTTATGCCAGAAAAATATGCATTAAAAGAATTTGCCTTTAACATGTTGGTTTAAAATTAACTATCTGTTTAACTCCCTTCTATATTTTATTTTACTATCACCAATATTGTCAACGAGATAATTTTTGTAATATTCTTTCTTAGATATTATAACTGCATATAAAACAAGAAACATAATATCACAAAAATACTAATGCAATTACGTTTTTCAACGAATTCTTAGAAGCGAACCAGGACTCGTCATTGAAGGAAGATGAACCACTGCCGCAAGACCATGCTGACCAAGCTGCTGATGAAACTCAGACTCAAACAGCTGAACAAGCTGAACCAATGACGGTGCACTTTGCAGTAAATTGTAAGTTACAATCTTTTTCAAGTAGTCACGAATATCAACAGAACATAAGCCAATGATCAAATGCTTTTCATGTGCCCTGAGGTCCGGGACAAATTTGAAGCATGCAATCGAGAAGAAAGCTACAGATATTTTTAAGTTTTAAGTTTTAAGGTGTGCCTACTTGTTAAACTAATACATTAGTCTAGTACGGAAGCGCTAATCCCGTTTTTTGTATCTTATTTCGAGTAAATGTGTGTTAAAATACATGACAAACGTATCCATACGACAACGAGCATAATGCAGAAATCGAGTCCAGATGTCTACAAAGGTGAGAATTAACAATTACCACACACAAACATTGTCTAGATAATGATAACGACAATAAATGAAACAAGGNAGACGATTTGAAGCACTACCGGTCAGCGTTTTTCCTCACTGAATTTGCATAACTTTTGAGTTTTGTTTTCATTAGAAAGTATGTCTACTTAATCGGGGCTCAGTTCGCTCAGAAAATACAAGAAATGAAAATAATCACTATGTCTTGATTAAGGAAGACTCAATGCATACGTTTAAAGTTGAAAAGTTTCACAGCGATGTAAACGTCTGTGTAACAAGAAGCTGAAAAGTGTACAATTTCGGATTATCGCGAAGTGAAATCTGAGCTTTTGCTACGATGACCGTTTTTCGTGAATTTCTGCCGTTATATTGGATATTTCAAAAAACTAACTTGATTTCCTTCAGTTACTTACCTAGGCCTTCAAACTGGCAAAGTATGAGCAAACTCGATTTTTCGACCGTGGCCACGATTTCTTTGATTTTTAGTGGCAATTGCTCTTAAGGTGTGCGTACTTGTTGAACTAGTACATTAGTTTAGTACGGAAGCGCTAATCCCGATTTTTTGTATCTTATTTCGAGTAAATATGTGTTAAAATACTTGACAAACGAATCCATACGACAACGAGCATAATGCAGAAATCGAGTCCAGATGTCTACAAAGGTGAGAATTAACAATTACCACACACAAACATTGTCTAGATAATGATAACGACAATAAATGAAACAAGGGATATATACCGGTACCGTCGAAAACATACTTTTTTTTGTGAAACCGCATGTCTATAAATAAAGGAGGCATACCGTAAATCTTCGAATTAGCGCCGGGGGCGCTTATTTCAAATTTAGGAGAAATCGTGGTCAGATAACCTAGTGTTTTTTAATCAGTTTCTTGTGATTTAACACCACCAATACTGTACATCCTTTGTTGTCTCAGAACTCATCCATAAAACAGGGGTGGGGGAAGCCTCTTATTCGAAGGGAGGCGCTTATCTTAAAGTTTNCAAAATCGATTTTTCGACCGTGGCCACATTTTTTGAATTTTCTTTGATTTTTACTGGCATTTACTCTTAAATGTTATACCGATCAGGTATATTATTATTATTATTATTATTCAGGGTTCTGTAGAAAAGAAGGGCTGCTACCATTCTACTTGTAGAACCTTAGTTTTCAGCTAGTGTTATATCTTGCAACTGAAAGAACGTGCTTCGAACAATGAACAACATTTCATGCCATTTGTTTTTCCTGCAACCATGTTAAGAACCTTGTTAATTGCGAGTTTAGGAAATGCAGGAATTAAGGAGAAATCAAATCACAAAAAAACGGGTTTTGTAAGTATTACTTTATAAGGTACCATGGAGGGTTTAGCGGCGCTGGTGGTTAATCTTAAAAAAATTGTTTAGCAAAACACTTAAATAGCAAAGCACTATAAAGGGGTGTCTATCCAAAAGGCCTCCAGATGCCGCGTACCTCCAGTTGGATCGATCTTGAGCCGCCTTTAGATAGCCACAAATGTGAACAAACGCTAGGTCTTTTACTGCGGTCCTGTTGAAACTTTACTAAACAGTTAATACGACCAGATATACTGCGAGTGTTCATACTTTGTGTCACTGCATTTTCCTCACAGAGAGAAGCATTTGTTTTTCTAATCCTTGTATGAACGGCGGAACCTGTCTTGATGAGACGTATGGATACAGATGCAATTGTAGAGTCGGTTACAGTGGAATGAACTGTCAACGTGAGAATATATATTCTCTTTGCTTTAACAGCTTAGAACAATAGTAGCTTCTAACTTATACAACGGTAAGTGCTGTATTACATGTGCAGGACAGACGAAACTTTTGGACGCTTGTGGAATCAGTAGAATTAAAATTATTCTCACAGTTCCGCCGATGGAACTTTGGATTCTTTAAGTAAAGTGCTCATACACACCTAACGCTGACGTGCTTCATATTTCATCAGACCATGTTTGCAGACCGAATCCCTGTCACAATGGTGGATCCTGTCTTGAAGAGGGCTCTTCTTTCCGGTGTGTGTGTCAAGTTGGTAACCACGGGGAAAGGTGTGAATGTAAGTGAGAGAATCTGACATAAGTACACATTCTATTGAAGATGCCAAAGAAAAGATACTTAACTTGAAAAAGAAGTGTAAAGGTCAACCCTACCTAAAATGCAACTTAACTGAGCGCATCATAATTTAGTTTTAAAACTAACCGAGAGTCAACATCCGTTTTTCTTCACTTTCTTTTGCAGTAATGAGTGCCTGTTTATCTCATCCTTGTTTACATGGGGGAACTTGTGTGGACACCTATTTTCTACACAACAACGGCATAGAATCACTAAGCATGTACTCTAATCCTTCATTTATTGACACTGAGCAGAACGGGATGTCTTACATTTGCAAGTGCATGTCGCCTTACGCAGGCCACAACTGTGAAGGTAATCAACAAACTGATAAACTACAATGTCTTTCTTCTGTCATTTTGTCATGCCAGGTTGGTAGAAAACAAATTGGAACCATTTCCATTTCGAAAGAGAGTAGATATGATGGTTTTAAAAGTTTAGCTCTCCACACTTCAGACATTTTCATAAAGAGAAGTCATTTTCATGTTTTTGACTTGCAGATGACAGCTGTCGATATTGCAGTGCCTATGCTGAATGCATTTTGGGACATTGCGTTTGTAAAGAGGGTTTCCATGGAGATGGAAAGACGTGCAAAAGTAAGTGTTGATGTTAAAGTTAATTCACGATATACGTGATTTATTATGAATTCACAGACTTGAATATTGGAAGGACAGAAAACAAAAACCTATTTCCAACGAAAGGTTTCCTTTTCACGAAAACGTAGCCTACATTTTCTGGTTAGAAAACGTAGGCATTGTAAGTAGAGTTATTAACAAGGTCAAAGCTTGGAATAATTGATTTTATTTGCTTCTGGTTTGCCGCTTGTTTAAGAAATGTTTAAGATTTCAATAAGTTTGAGACTGTAAAATTTGTTTCTTTTCTGTCTTATTAACTGCTCTGTTATGATGTAGCTATCTTTGACATCGACACGTAGTAAACTAAACTGGAAAAGCCAAGCATTAGTGTTGTGGTCTTTGAGGAAACAAAACTACTCCGTTACCAACCTTCCTTGGTATACTCCTGTATCTGATTTGTGGAAGGCATCACAATGTGTTTGTGTGTTTCTTTTGCAGAAAATGTATGCCATCCTAACCCCTGCAAAAATAGTGGAACCTGTGTTCCAACGGACTCGTCTTATGACTGCGAATGCGCACTAGGATGGACCGGGCCACACTGTGAAAGTAAGTGGCACTTTTGATGACAATAGACTCAATTCAATCAAAACTATTTGCGTGACATTGCATAATTAACTTTCATTACTCTAACTCTCCGCGAACTATGTATAGTTTTTAAAAAGCAAAGTTTAGCACGAGCACTTTAAGCCAGCAATGCCGGTTAATGAACTTTCCAAGATTCCAGATTATAGTTGTGTCCAGTGTGTTCCTAACTTAGCAGTTGCTTTGATATCGATCGTTTTACTTCAGCTCGACAATACTGCATTCCTAATCCGTGCAAGAATGGAGGAACCTGCTTTCCAGAAGAAAATGGATACAGATGCACCTGTCTGAGCAATTTTGAAGGAAACGATTGTGAAAGTAAGTTATACCACCTAGTTAAATCTTTTAGATTTCCGCAGTAGACAGAAACTGACACTTAAGCTCAGGTTCAATACCGACAGTACTTACGTTTTAATTCCATAGAGAAAATTACCTGCCTATACGAGTATATGTTTTGTGCTTGAAGGATGAAATGATCTTCCCCTTTAAATTAGGATCCTCAAGCAGTTTTTTGTTTTACAAGATTTAGTTTTTCCAATCTTGATACAAAGTTTTGTGTTGCATAGGTTTTGATCACTGAGATGCACACAAAAATCTCCTTAATGCTTACTATATTGGAAAGTGATAATCAGTTGAACTACTGAAACAGATCTCAAATTTAGTTGTAATTTCGGGAACAATTTCCATTTACAGAAGCAAATCCTTGTTCACCAAATCCTTGCAAAAACTCCGGCACATGCAAAGAAATGAATGGAGTGGCAACCTGTGAATGTTCTGCCCAGTTCGAAGGCAACTTCTGTGAAAGTAAGTAAAGAAAGATCTCAGTTTCAGAAATTAACCAAAACAAAGTGATGTTCATTTTGTTGCTTATTGTGGAAAGAGATGATTACATGAGGCCACAGACTATGATCTCTTGCATGAAGTAGTAAATGCATTCGAATATTCTCCACGATGCAAGGGCACTACTCATGGACGGACTTTGTACTGGATTGTACTTGCAATATTTGTGACAATTTTACATACGGAAACATATATAAAATTTCCAGTTGTTCATTTTTATAATCAAGTATTTTATTTCACGTTTATAGTTGATAAATGTGCCAAATGTGACTCGCACGCTCGGTGTGACAACGGAAACTGTGTGTGTATGGAGGGTTGGGTCGGTGATGGCCAGACCTGCTCGCCTAAAGAAGGAGGAGGACGTAAGTAGATTGGTGTTCTGTTATAATTTTTGCATTTCCAAATGTGTAACAGAGAAGTGTAAGTGGTATATTTCTTTACACGATGATTTGTGGCAAGTGCGTGCGTGTTGTAAAGCCACAAGGGCCAGAGTGGCGAAATACTTCCAGTAAACGCTATTAATCATTTATTCTCTTTGTGTTAAACTACATATTTACTATAGTAGAAATAATTAATTGCCATTAGGCTACGGCTATTGAGCCCAGGATCAGCGTAACCGATCAACGGCAAAATTAAAGCACGTGGAAATTAAAAACGACTCAATTTGTGTTCTCCAGGATCCAACTTAGAATTCTTGTTGTATAAAACAACTCGTTTAGGTAGCGTTGTTTGCAAGGTAAAGTGTTTTTACCATCTCCTTTAGACCATGCGGTGAAAATCCGTATCGTTGATTCTAATGACAGGAGAAGGTCTCGAAGGTATGTTTCACCACGTTTCCAAACACCGAGAAGAAATGTGGGCGGGCAGCGGAGTATATTTGGTGATTTTTTTTTTTTTTCAATTATGGAGAAAGCGGAGGAAAAAAAATTGTAATATATGTCCTAATTAAGATTAGATATCCAAACACGGTCACAGTTATGATGTTGACAAATGTGCTTTCGGTTAGCCCTTGGAACAGACAAGGTTATTTCTTAAGCCACAGTTACGGTTCGCTAATATTGTTTGCTACGTCACGAAGGAGGTAGCAGTATCAGTACTGACTGGCTCGGGAAAAGTTCTCTCAGCACAACCATTAGAGTCCAATACGGTTGGTAAACAAAGATACTTAGACGCATGCAGCTTGCAGAGGAAAGCAATTAAAATTAAGAATCGTTTTGTTTCAAATACAGTACCCGCTGCCCAGCCGGCACCTCCTGGTCCACCAGGAAGTGCTCCTCCTGGTAGCCCTTCGTCAAGCCCCAAACCATATGGCCCTCCGGGTAGTTCTTCCTCTTCCAGCGGTCCCCCAGGTAGTCCTGGGAGTTCATACGGCCCTCCGGGAAGTCTCTGAAGCTCTCCATCAACATCTTAGAACTTTGTAATTGGATCAACTGGACGAAGACAAACTGTACAATCACAATGCTACAATGTGTAACCAACAACTGGACTGCGTGGACGCAGACCACCATACGAAAACCACCATACTAAGCGTAAAGACAGATGGAATAGTTAATTACATAAGAAAGGAACAAAAAAATGAGGAAGTTACGCTCAAGAGGATTAAAGTGACATCCAAGGAATGAGTAATCAGTTCTTGACGGAATTTAACCGTGTAGTCACAAACAGAAGTTAGAAAATCTAAATTGTTGCATTTGTCGATGACAGCCAAAATTTACAAAAGAGCCAAAGTAACTAACTGAACAGATATTACGGCCTTCTACTGGACAAAAATTTTAAGAGGTGGCAAAATCGGCACTAATTGGCTCGGGAGAAGGTTTTTTCACGCATTTAAAAACCTTTGTTTACAAACCTTATTGGAGTGTAATGAAAGTACTGAAAACCCCTTCCCGAGCCAATCAGTGTTGATTTTTCCGCCTATTAAAATGATGGTTCAATTACTTATGCTCGACAAATCCAAGATCTAAGCTCCCGTTGAAGTATTAAGGGATTTATGACCTAAAAAGGCAATTAAACAACAAAACGTGAAATCGCGTTCAAAGATGTCGTCAGAATTGTAACTGCTCAAAATATATGTAAATGAAAAAGTTGCTCAAAGTGAATGCCTCGAAAACAATATTTATGCATGTGCAGCCATTGTCAGCCATTGTTAAGTAAGCTAATGATGTAATGTAGTGCGACTGTAATTCAGGTAACACAAGGAAAGTAATTAACAAATACATGTATAATTTAATCAGCAAAATATAATATGCTCACTAGTATGGCCTCAGTTGTTTTTGCTTTTTTTCGTACCTGTGATAGGTTACCACATAAATGTACGTTTCTTGAGTCAGTAGGTTGCTTAGAATCTGAATATAGCTAAGAGAGCTAAGAATGCACAGACCAATTTGTGTTACCAGGTGAAAATGAATTACATGCAACGCAAGACTTAGAATAGAGAACATGTCGGAAACACCATAGATGAAGTATTAAGTTTGTGAGCATTGGTCTCAAAATCTTGTTTATGTAGAGGCTTGCGTCATAGTTAAACAAGAAAATCAGGCACTGCGTGTTTTTGGCGTAAAAGGGCAACTGGTTATCTTATAGGTAACCTTGTGAATGTCAGTGCAATTAAGGATTTACACTACGAGAGATATTTGAAAATTCTCAAATACCACGAGTAGTGAGATAATTAATAGCTCGAGCTCTCAAAATAGTACTCATCTGCTCGTTTGCCAATTTGCACTGTAGAACAAATGGAAAAAAAAATAGATAAATTGGCCTACTCTCAGCAAATCACAACGCAATAGTTTTCTCAGTCATATGATAAATATTGTATTCGTTCGATACGGACAGCAAGGTTGGTTCCATACTAAAAGCCTACCGCCTCATTTCCTGTCACAAACAATTGTACGACACAGAAGAGGTAAACAAATATTTTAAACTGTATAATCAGTCATTATAATAAAACAGTTACTTCAGTTAATTTCTTCTAGCTTGCTTGAACTCATATCTCTTAGGAAAAAAGGGGGTCGATTTCGTGGATATGTTAATTTTTCATCTTAAGTGCACAACGCACCAAAATGAGTGCGGTTTGCGCTTTTATTACCAAACACAACAACAACAAAAAAAACAGCACAGCTATAACTTTTCTGTCTGATTGACTACCACTGGTCACGTGATGCACTTTGGAAATGAAGAGATCATCACGCAGTAGTTTTCAGCTCCGAGTTAAATAACTCCTGTAGAGAAATGGGTACGGTATTTGCCGGTTACTAGCCCTATCCAATGAAAATCCCCTGAAATATTCCCTGACCAAACGTCGAATAAAAGAATGATTAAGTAAGGAATAAATGACTGAATGGAATTATTAGTGGTCTGAAAGGCCCCGTGAATGATCAAAATCAAATTGCCAACCTGTTGTTACGTGATGCAAACCACATGAATTGCTCTTGCACTTGAGAAAACTTTGGGAAACATTCGTTGAACTTCTGATTGGTGATGTGAACTTTAAACGGCTCATTTGTTTTAAAAAGTTTATGCAGTTGGTTTTCTTTTGTACGTTACCGTACTCAAACTCACCATTAGCCAATCAGGAAGCCGTTCTACTCCCTTGGTATCTCTACGACTTGGTTGGTATCTGGTTCGACTGCATTTCGCCAAAAAACACGGCACGACCAAAATCACTGGATCTGCCGAATCGTACCAAAACGTTACCCAGGAAAAGGTAGAATTTTGATTTGAGTTTTCAACTTTGCGGTGAGGTTTTCTATATATTGTTTGGCCTTCTGCTTTGAGTTTTAATAATCACCATATACACAAAACAAAGCAGCAAAAAACATTTGTATAGAAGAAAAAGTTATAATTCGGTTAACTTTTTATTCTGGGTTAGCGTTAACCGCCTTCCGAAATTTCCTGCCCTGTTTTCAACAAGTTAATCCGACATGAGCCCGCAATCCAATCGAAAACCAGCACTTGGTCAGCTGTCGACTTCAAAAAAACGCGTGACCTCGATGAGCTGTAAACTTAAGCCCGCGATATGGTCACATGAGGCTGGTCAGCGGATACCTTGTTTTGACAGATATCAATTGATCATAACATGGATGTCCAATATCAAAGAAGTTCACGGTAAAGCAACGGTGCATATCTCTGTCAACCTATTATTTGGAGTATGGCCGCCATGTTGCGCGACTCCGTCGCCTTCGCCGTCGCCGTCGCCGTCGTGCGTACGCGCCGACGAGCAATACCGCTAGCCATGATAACCATGAGAAAATCAACTCATGGATTTCCTTTTCTTTTCCTATATGAGTATAGGGCTCCACTAATAAAGGTCAAATAAATCCCCGACTGCAAAAAGCGAACGAGACCCATTGCAGCATACCGTACAATGTAAATGTGCGTGAAACGTTCAGATACGTTAAACTACTAATTTGCTTTATTAAATTAAAACAGTTGATTTGCTTCCAAAGGTGTTGTCTGTTTGACAATGTTTTTCTGAAAATGCATCAAAAAGTGCCAAATCTTGAAAAGTTTGGTTTGCGTAAAAGTTAAACAAATCTCCTATTGTATAAACTGCTCAATTGGGGGAATATTTGAACTCTTTTCTGTGCTATTTATTGCATGTAAGATATTGTACTAATGTTATACCATGTTAACAACAGACCAACCACAGTTTGTGTCCATATTGGGGCTTTCCGTTCGAAATCGCACTTTTCTGTTAAATTTTCTTATGGAAATAACACTTAACCAACCTTGCTTATCTTTATTACATGGTTTTTGAAATGTCATCTATATTCACAGCACCTGGGTCTCGTGCCAGTCCTTGTGAGTCCAATCCTTGTCAAAACGGTGGCCAGTGCATAGACAGAGGATCGTCCTATCAGTGTCTCTGTAGTGAAGGCTTTTCAGGTGACAACTGTGAATTATCAGTAGGTCGCGAAAACCCCTGCGAGCCCAATCCATGCCAAAATGGAGGTCAGTGTAGAGTAGTAGAAGACAAACCTGTGTGCATTTGCCCGGAAGGATTCGAAGGAGAATTCTGTGAGAAGCCAAAAGGTAAGCAACAAATTTATCTATAATACGACGATATTTTTGCTCTTATTAAGTTATACCTACAGAGAGGAATAGAGACTTGAGGGGATTTATATGTTGACATAATGGTGAAAAAATTAAATATAAAACAAACACAATTCCTAGGAGCATCTGGAGGATAACAATTTCAGCATAAAAGGTAGAAACTCAATCGTAGTCCGAGCTGTTTACGGCTCTTGGTATGAAAACTGTCAGAGCTTAAATATTTTTCTTAGGTGGTGGTACAGGGGTACCGGGAGTTCCTGGTGGTGGTGGTGGTGTAAAGTCTCCATGTCATCCCAACCCATGCATGAATGGAGGAACATGCACAGAGAACGGAGGTGGTTACGATTGTACTTGTCTCACACAATACAGCGGACCTAACTGTGAAAGTAAGCGCCATTATGTTTCTTCGCGTTCGTTTTCTTCAATGGCAAGTAGTTATCCTCTTCGTTTTGTCAGGTTTTTACATTCGTTTTATATTTACAGTTGATGAATGTGAAAAGTGTGACGTCCACGCGATCTGTGTAAATGGACATTGTCGATGTAAACATGGATATTATGGCAACGGCTACCAATGTGAAAAAGGAGGCAAGGAGTGTTGATAGTTTAAATTATAACCTTAGTTTGTGGAATTAAAAGAGTAATCACATAAATAGCACTCTTATAATTGTTCTTGTGGAAGCCTTTAGAAAGAAATAGCGACAAATACCCGTACAACAGAATACCTGATAAAACAGTTCTTTGAATGCCATGACTGAATACCTTGCCAAGGAGCACTGAATTAGGGATCTAGATGGAGCTGTGTTTCATCTTCTCAGTACATCGAGAAAGTTTTTTTCTGGAATGAAGTAGAATAGTATTGTGAGCCGTCTGCTTCAATACATCCAAACGTAACGGCAAATGGACGTCAGATGTTAAACTTTTTCTTTGATGTGAAGTATATATGAAATAATTCATATTTGAACTGCGGTGTAGATGAAAGTGAAGAATGATTATCGCAGTAAATTTTCCAATTTGAGCAGTTGGAAAGAAGAAGCCTGAAAAAATCAGGGTTTCAACGGGATTCGAACCCGTGACCTCCGCGATACCGGTGCGATGCTCTACCAACTGAGCTATGAAGCCACACATTGAGAGCGAGATCAATTAATTGAGTTCATTTCTTCCCGTGAGGAGTGAAATGATGTGAAGTATATATGAAATAATTCATATTTGAACCGCTGTGTAGATAAAAGTAAAGAATGATCAGCGCAGTAAATTTTCCAATTTAAGCAATTGGAAAGAAGAAGCCTGAAAAAAACAGGGCTTCAACTTCTTCTTCACTTTCATCTACACCGCATTCCCTGATTTTTTCAGGCTTCTTTTTTCCAATTGTTTAAATTGGAAAATTTACTGCGATGATCATTCTTCGCCTTTAAACTTTTTCTTTATTGCTCAACTGGACGAACAGCTCGGTAGGAATAGATCCTTTGGTGCCTTAAGGTTTCCAAATTTCGCATAAGATTCTTTCTTTAATTTCTCTTTCAACTTCGTTTTTGAAACGCTTATTTGGGAAATGGAAAAATTTATCTCTATTGCTCACCCTTATGTTCAAATTTTGTAGATGAAGAATCTGAATGCGAGGGCTGCAGTCCATTTGCTCAATGCCAGAATGGGATTTGTGTTTGCATTGAGCATTACAATGGAGATGGATATAATTGCACACGTGAGTTACAGAGTTAAAAAGTTGAGAGGGGTGGGGCAATAGATTATTGTTTTTGTTTAATCTGATCAGATCAGGTAATATATATGTTTTGAAAATACAAGGAAAATGGAGTTCGTGCAAACTTACTCAAATGTTTGGATCAGGCTATTATAATATTATGTAGGTATTTTCTATTTCCTATGTAAGTTGGGACCAAAAACAGAAACAGGAATGGCAAGAGTGGCATCCCTTTCCAGTGTTGCAATACTCCTTCTTCCATGGAAACCAAGACAAAACCCGGCTATGTGCACCATTCATGCCGAGGGGAGGGAGAGCTCTTACATTTTTATCTGTAGATGGGTGTAGGTGTCGAAACTAACATTGCTGTCTGGCACCTTCAAATGCAACATTACAACTACCTCCACGCAAATCTTTTGAGAAGAACAGTGTCAGTATTGATAATTATGATGATGACGACGACGACCACGAAGGCGACGATGATGATAAGCTGTTCTGAACAATGTTGTTATATTTTTAAACAAGTATTATTTCGCTTTTATTTCGTATACAGCTGTGAACCCATCATGTCAAAATTGTAATCCTCCTAACACGTGCATGCAAGGGGTTTGCTTACCTACACTAGGAAAAAAGTGAGTGCAAATATTCTTTCCATTACTTTTATGAGAACGTTTGAATGAGTTTAAACAAATATTTGAGAACTGGTCAACTATTTTTACTGATTAGCGATATATCTGAGATGTGCAAAATTTACATATAAACGAGAAATCACCGAGACTTCAACTATTAACTGTGAATTCAATTTCATCTTAAAAGGTAAAGCTAGTTTTTAGGATATTCCGAATATTTAGATGGAGACAAAATCACCTAAAATTTTGCCGAGCTGTTTGGCTAGTTACAAGGTTGGCCGCTTGTAGTTTGCCCGTTGACATTAAACTCTACATACTTAATTTTCAGTTTTTTTTTCTTTTCTGGAGCACTTTAAACTTTAGAACTTTAAGTGAAAGATTCATGGTGCATAATGCCATAATTTGTCAATCAAAAGGTATCATATTGATGAAAGTAAGCGTTGTTTCTTTTGTAATCAATATTGCTGCCCTTTTCCGGTTTGAAAAAAACATGTCATGGAGTGACAATTACGGAACAATATATCAGAAGGCCTGAAGTGATCTGTCAACTGGAATCTGTCTGTGGATCTTACAGCCAAGATACAACTTTCTAGAATAATAACATTGTTATGTACTCTTTTTTTCCACAGGTCAGTGGTTAAGAAACCAAAGCAAAAACGATTCAACTTGAGCGATGCAACTAAAAACGTTTCTTAACTAAGTATACACCTGAAATAAAATAACTTTTTGCGATTGTTTGTCACCCATTCTTACATTTCGCATAGTTGTTAGTTTTGTACGTTTCGGGGAAGATGGAACTAGTTTAAAACGATATTTTACATATAGATGCAATGATTGAATACAGTTTTTGTGTGATAATTCAGTAATAATACCACATAATCGCATATGGTCGACGAAGAGACCCTAAATTTTCACGTGTTTCAGATTCCAAAACATTGAAACGCATCATTTCGTTTGACGAACTGAAGCTAAAACACTTGCTGCTGTACAGTCCATCTTGCTGGTCGTGAACATCAGAGTAAATAAAATAACTGTTTCAGCGATCATAGCTTCAATATTTTGGTGGTCAGACTTTCGTGTCCAAGTGTTCTTTGGCCCCTTTTGTCTTGGTTTGAGACGTATTAATTATCAGACCTACGGTTAACCAGGTCTCTTGCTTCAATTTAAAATGCACTATCATGAGCATGACTTCGAAAAGTAAACGCTCAAAAGCAGGAGCCATAATCAGGGACGGAGACCGTAAGCGCGCGCCATGTCTAGTATTGGGGCTGTCCCCATGATATGGGACAATAATTCTATTTTTAGGACAAATTGCGCCATCGCCTGCGGCACACGCGCGTACATGCTGCGAGGATTTTTGCGAA